ATGAGTCAACGTATGTCCATGAACTAGCTGGGAGTTTATCTTAATACATCCACTTAGATGGCTAATGGACACCATGGCGGTATGCCAGCACATTCAGTGGGTACTACCAGTGAGGTCCTAAACCAGAATCCAAATAGAGACTACAGACATATTAGTGAAGGACTAGAGAGAATGGTCCTGCAAACTGATAGCAAAGAGATCACAACTGACTCTGCCTAGGGGGGGAAAAAAAAAAAAACAGCACAAAGAGGGGGAAACTAGAAGGTTGATAGCAGGGACCAGTGGGAAAGACAAACAGGGGTGGCAGAGAGCACTGGAAGCCTGGGCTTGGGCCAGCCAGCCTGGGAAACTGCTGCCCCAGATGCCATTATTGATAGTGCTCCTTGTGGGTCTTCAAATGTTAAGAAGGCCCCTGTTCCAATCACCACTCTATGGTGCACTGTGAGCAAGGAGATTAAGGAGACTGTTACTAGTCTGTGTCTTGGAGACTACCAGGAAGGCTGAGAAGATGATGGATATGAGCTCGTGGCAGAGGGTCAGCTGTGATGGGATGGACATAGGGCTGAAGAATTAGGTGAAACCACCCGGCATAGCCCRATATTTTAGGTCAGTCTCTTTTTTTAATTTTGTTRTTGTAGATGGACACAATACCTTATTTATTTATTTATTTATTTATTTATTTTTATGTGGTGTTGAGGATCAAACACAGGGCCTCACACGTGCCAGGCAAACACTTTACCACTGAGCCACAACTTAACCCAGGTCAATCCTTTTTTTTAAGCTTGAAAATTAGCAATTATTATTATTTTAGATAATATGAATACATATTTTACCTAAAAACTCACTATTCCTAAAATTCGTATTTGCATTTTACACCATCTTTCTGGGGCCATTTTCTTTCCTTCCAAATACACATCCTTTATATGTTTCCTTAATGTTGTCCTTTTGAGAATGAACGCTTGATGTTTGCTTTTTATGAGAATGTCTTTACTTTATCCTTGTTTTCGAAAAATAATTTTGCTGGGTACAAATTTCTTGTTGGTAGTTACAACTTCACCATTTTGAAGTTACTACTCAACTGATACTTTTTGCTTTTATTGTTGTTTTTGAGAATTTCCCTTTAGTAAACTAAAGGCTATCATCTATTTATTTATTAATATTTTTCACTGTAGATGAACACTTTACCTTTATTTTATTTATTTATTTTTTTATGTGGTGTTGGGGTTTGAACCCATTACCTCACATGTACACAGCAAGTGCTCTAACAACAAGCTACAACTTCAGGCCTATTTATTTTTATTTATTTATTTATTTTTGGTAACAGGAATTGAACCTGGTGCCACATCTACAGAACTTTTTAATTTTATTTATTTAATTTGAGACAGGGTCTCACTAAATTTGTTAAGGCCTCTCTAAGTTACTGAGGCTGGCTTTGAACTTCCCAAGTCACTGGGCATGTGCCAACGTACCTGGCTTAGACTATCCATTTTTATAGGTGATTCATCTTTTCTGAGTACTTTATCATCTCCTGTCTTTGGTGTTCTTCAGCTTTACCATGATGTATTTAGGTACAGATCTTCTTTGTCCTAGCTTGGTATGTTTTGTGCTTCATCATCATATCTCTTATCAGTTMTGAAATATCCTCAGCCATTATCTCTTGTAATATTGCTTCTCATCCATTCCCATCATTCTGTCCTTCTAATCCATCTGTCTTAATTTTTGCCCACTTCCTTGTCCATCTCCTTATGTTAAGCGTTGAGTAACATCTTCAGATATGTCTTCTAGTTCACTAATTTCTCTTCATCTGTCTCTAAACTTCCATATATGTATATATTTGTGTAAGTAAACATCTTCCCCTCTCTCTTTCTCTCTCTCCCTCTATATATGTATATATGTATGTATGTATATATATATATATATATATATATATATATATATATATATTTCACATACAATACACTTGCTCCACTTCAAGTCTACAGTTCAGTGGTTTTTAGTGTATTCACAGACTTGTGTAACCCTCACCACAATAAATGTATGAAACTTTTCTTCATACCCCCAAAGAAACCAAATTTCCATCCATCATCACTCTTCATTCCACCTTAACACTGTCCCCTGCTTACCCTAGGCAACCACTAATTTACTTTTCATCTCAATAGATTTGCCCAATCTGGACAGATGTAAACAGAATCATATGACATATTTTTTTTTTTGTGTGTGTGTGTGTGTGTGTGTGTGTCTGGTGTCTTTCATTTATTCTATTTCTAAACTGGAAATAGAATAAGTTTAAAGGGAACACATAAAGGTTGTGTATTTGGAAGGAAAGGAAATGGTCCCAGAAGATGGTGTGAAATGCAAAGAGGAATAGTGAGTTTTTAAAATAAATAAGTTTAAAATAAATAAATAGTGAGTTTTTTAAATAAATAAGTCATCTGTTGAGTTTTTACTTTAACAATTATATTTCTAATTTCAATAACTTGTCTCATTCCCTTTTTCAATTTATGTGATCTCTCAATCATGTCTTGTTCTTCTTTTTGTGACTCTATCTTTAAATATTTCATATAGAGTTACGCTATTTTCTAATCCTTCTGGYAGCTTGAAGATGAGGTTCTAAAATCTTTTGCTGACTCGTATATCTGGTGATACTGGATTAGAAACTGACATTTAGTTAGTTCATCTTCATTTGCAGAAAGTCTGAGGTTTATTTATTTTGTTCTTTTTAGTTATACATGGTGGTAGAATGTATTTTGACATATCATACATACATGGAAAATAATTCCCATTCTCATGGTCATACATGATGTGGAGTTATACTGATCGTGTATTTATATATGAACATAGGAAAGCTATGTCCAATTCATTCTACTGTCTTCTCCACTCTTATCCTCCCCACGCCCCCACTCCAATCCTGTGAACCTCGGCTCCCCCCACCCATTATGACTCAGCATCTGCATATCAGAGAAAACCTTTGGGCTTTGTTTTGGGGGGGGTTGTCTTATTTCACTTAGCAAGATAGTCTCCAGTTCCATCCATCTACCGGTAAATACCATAATTTCATCCTCCTTTATGGCTAAGTAATATTCCATTGTGTATAGATTCCACATTTKCTTTATTCATTCATCTATTGAAGGGCACCTAGGTTGATTCCATAGCTTTGCTATTGTGAATTGAGTTATGAACATTGATGTGGCTGCATCACTATAGTAGGCTGATTTATTTAAGTCTTTGGGTATATGTGGAGGAGTGGGATAACTGGGTCAAATGGTGATTCCATTCCAAGTTTGCTGAAGAATCTCCATGAAAGTCTGAGGCTTAAAATCCTCAAGAGAAACTGCATAAGGCTGTGCAGTAGTCAGGGGTGCTTGATACCCAGAGTCCCCTCTGGCTGAAAGGTGGAGTCTGTGTTTCATCTCTGGCTGCCATTGCTCCTCACTGTGCTGATCATGGAATGTGTCCTCACCTGCCTTTCCTGTGTGTGCTAACTTCTCTCTCCCCTCAGCCTGCAGCTCTTGGGGGAGGGGGACATGTTTGTTCTTCAGTGATAGCCTTGACTTTCTGCTCCCCCGGTAGTGCACACAAGTTCTATCTCATTCAGCTAATGGGAAGAGAAAAGACCCTTCAGAGTGTCTGGTTTGCCATCCTGATGCCGTATCCTGGAAACTCCCAGCCTGCATGGGTTTCTGCCCTGGTTCTCCAGCCCTACTGGTGAGCCTTAAGCCTCCCAAGTAATCCCCTCTTTTGTTCACATTTCACTCCCCTACAGCCAAGATCCCTAATAAAAGAGCCTTGTAGTAATGGAGAATGATATATGTGGGCACTGGYAATGTGCCCCCTTGTTCTAAAGGGTTTACATGTGTTAACTCTCTTAGCCATCAGGACCTTCCCACTTTACAGATGAGGAAATCGAGGCACAGAAAAGTTGGGTGTCTTGTCTTGGGTCCCACACCTGGCAGCATGGCTTTTTTTTCCATTATCATGACTGCAAAAGGAAGCMGAAAGGTGCGGGCCCTTCCCACACTTGGCAGAGGAAGTGCCGTCTCTGCAGGAACTGGCTGCAGACTCCCAACGGCCCGTGAAAGCCCTGGGCTAGCCTTTCTGATGCACCATGAGGTGCAGCCAGGCTTGACCRTGGGTCTGGGGTTCTCTGAGCTTTTTCCTGATGGTAAAAAGAAAACTCAGATTCTTACTCAAAAGTCGAGAGTGCCCTTGATGGCACCTGTGCTGACAGCCTAGAAAAATCAATGCCACCGTTGCTGTAGGTGGGTGACACCAGCGGTTTTGTTGCCTTTGCAGCGTGACTGGGAAACTCTGAGAATAGACTGGAGACCCCACCTTTGGCTTAACCCAACAGAGGCATGAAATTGAAGGAAACGTGTGAATAAACAGCTGTCAGTATCTGGAGCCTCTAAGTGACAACCACGTGGGAACCGATAACCGACAACTGTCCTAAGCAGAAGCAGATCTGCTCCGTAGGAGGCTCCCAGCCCTCAACCCCGGGAGGATGCACTCTCCACTGGGAAGCTACTTCCTTAAAAATAAGCACAGTGTTTATGCACAGTGCTTTCCTGTGCAGGTCACGATGCRTGAACAAAGCCGCTCATACAAAAGTGCTCAGCACAGTTACCTCTTTGCGTCCCCCAAACAGCCCTCAATATCAGCATGATTATTCCCCCATTTATGACTGAGGAAACTGAGGCTGAGAGAAGTGACTTCCCAACAGCCCCACAGACTACAGAGATGGGGACAATCAGAATCCATCTTGGTTTAGCCTTTCTTGTCCCTAGGAGTGTCCCTTCAGCCTCCTTTCTTACTACTGAGGTGGGAAGAGCATCTGCAGGTAGGCAATTCCCAATCAGGGACCAAAGACAAACCATTCTCCCAGGGGCACAGGTTTGTTTGTCTCCTCCTGTGAGGCTCTGGTTACCCAGGGGCCTGCAAGCTGGGCCCTTCTCAGCAGTCACAGAAGGAGCCATCTGGGTCTGGTGGAGGAGGGGTGTTACCTTCACTGCTTCCCAGCTGGAATTCACCAGGTGCTGCCGGAAGGGCCCAAAACCTGAAACCAAAGACACCCAGGTTTTCTCAAGCAAGGCCACATCCACATAAGATTCTCTTTCTGCTCCCCAGGTCATTGTGGGTCCTGGACAACTCCAACAACCTTGCCAATCTGGGAACACCCTCAGAGTCCTCGTGCAAGGCACAGTGAGGAGTCGAAAAGGAAGGTGGGACCTATTCACTGCCACACTGGGGGTGGGGGCATGGTTGGGGCATGGTTGGKGCATATGTGCACAAATGACTAATAGAAAAGCAGGCTTTGTAGAGAACGCAGTATTGGACCCACATAAATGTGCCCAATTGTTTGGTTACAAAGGTGCAAAAAATTTCAGTGGAGAAGGACAACCATTTCAACCAATGGTACTGGATCGACTGGACATAAAACACTGAGCCCTCAAACTAAACCTTACACCTCATGYACAAATGAATTCAAAATGGTTATGGACTTAACTGTAAGAAGTAAAACTATACAAACATTTAGGGGGAAAAAGAAGTGAAAAAAAAATCTTGGGACCTTAGGTTACACAAAGAGTTCTTAGATTCAAAACAACAACAAAAAGCCAGGCATGGTGATGCACACTTGTAATCCCAGTGGCTTGAGAGGCTGAGGCAGGAGGATTACGAGTTCAAAGCCAGCCTCAGCAATTTAGAGAGTCCCTAAGCAACTCAGTAAAACCCTGTCTTTAATTAAAATACAAAATAGAGCTGGGGATGTGACTCACTGGTTGGGTGCCCAAGTTCAATCCCTGGTACCCTCCCTCTATAAAAAAAGTGTAAAACTTCTAGGTCTGGAGGATGGTTTAGTGGTAGAGTGTGTGTTTAGCATGCACAAGGCCTCTAGTTCAATCCCTAGCACTAGAAAGATAGATGGAGGGGGAGGAGGAGGAGACCTCTGACTTTGACTGAATTCTATAGAATAAATATGATTAACTCCCAGGGCAACAGTCAGCAAATAAAGAATGGCAATAGGAAATATTGAGAATAAGGGGAAAAAATCCTAGGTACCTCCTAGGATAGATAATAAAAATGCCGCAGCACACAGAACTAGCACATTCTGTTTTAGAATCATATTCAAATCAGCAAAAATTACACCTCTTTTTTTTTGAAATTAGGAAAACAAATCAATAAGTGAAGGTTTGAAGCTTTTGCTTTGCTGGGTCAGATCTCACTGTCAACCTGCCAGCTCTGGAGGGGAACTTGCAAAAAAGAGCTGGAGAAATCTAGGGGAATGAGAGAGGCCCTCTGGAGGCAGGTTTCCTCTGCCTTTCATTGCTATCATTTGGTGCCAATCAGAAAGAACACCTTGATCTTGACACCATTTGTCAGAGCCCTGGTTTTCCCATCATCTGTCTATGTGCCAATTGTCTTGGTGAGATTTACACATTAAGCAAATCCAATTATATAAAGAGGCTGCCCTGGGCAGCTCAGAACATTTCTAATAAAGGAGGTCATACTCTGGAACCTGGTGGACATCCTCAGATCGTGGCTGATTATCAAGTACATCATCAACAATCTAGAGTCTGCTGGCAAACCACAGGCTGACAACATAAAGGAAAGCGTGGGTGTGATTCTAAGAGGGGCAATGGTGCTTCAATATCCATATTTCATTTGAGACAAGCACTGCATTGACTAGGAGTACAGTTTCCTTAGGAATTCAAACGTAATTTGAATCATTCAATTTCTAGACTCAAAATGAGAACGAGGGAGATAAAAGGGTTTCAAAAGAATTTTCTTTTTAGAAGGTTGATAGAAGTTTGAATTGCAATCTGAAAATATTAAGATGAGTAACTTTCAATTAAGATGGGTGACTTTCATGCATACAGGAATCTTCATCTGTTGAATGCTTCCTTCATCCAACAGTATTCAAAAAAAATAAAATGTGCTAAATGTGTCTAACTAAAAATAAAGAGCTTTGGTGACTAACTAAAAATAAATAAAGAGCTTTGTGAGGAAAGTTCAAGCACCCAGGGACCAGCTGTGAGGCACAGTGGTGGTAGTGGGGTGGCTTMAGATTTGCTTGTGAAATGCAGGAGCAAACAGCTATCATTCCTTCCAAGTTGACCTTTTGAGGTTCAGAGGCATCCACTCGTGACAGAGGTGGGGATGGGGCTTCAGGGTTCCCATAGTAAGAAACTCATTCTGTATGTGGAACCGTGTGCTCCTTTCTCTTTTGGGGGTTGGAGCAGGAAGTGCAGGGGAGGGGTCACCACAGAGGTACTGTGAGAGCCTGGTGAGGGTCCTGATCTTTTTGAGCCAGTATGTCCTCTTCCTTATTATGAAAGTGCTCTCCTAAGGATACCACTTGTGTCCAGCCAGCGGGTCCTAGACTCAGGGACAGCCGGTGCAAGCCTCACCTTCCTCCCTGAGGAACTGAAAGACAGGAAAGGTTTGAGCCTAAGCCACACGTGGGCAYCTTCGTGCATGCCTCTGGAGCTATTTGCAGCGAAGCAGAAGCAGGGAAGCCTCTGTTCCTTTCTTGTTTTTTTAATAGGACATAGCAGGAAGTTAGCCTCCTTCTGGAATTTTTAGCACCACCAGTTGCCACTCTTTTTTCCCCTCAGGGAACTGTTTATGATCAGGATCAAGCAAGTGCGCATTCCAGGTGCAGGCTAAAAGCAGCAGCAAATGGAAATGCACAAAAATATAGCCTTACCGGTCACCACCACACAACTGGATTGAGAATCCATGAAGCCCAAGGGGAGAGCCCGCGCAATTAGCAGGGGCCCGGGTGCAGCGGTGTGGCGCTGAGCTATAGCCAAGCCGGGCGCCCCTCCTCTCCGCCCGCTGCAGGCCACCCTGCAGCTCCAGAGTGCCTGTGCCCGGCCTCTCTGCCGCCGCGTTACCGGCCGGCCCCAAAGGCCAAGGTCGAAGCGGGTGGCGGTGGTGGTGGTAAGGTGATGCCCCTTGAAAGCACAAACAGCCAGCTCAGAACTCAGGAAGGAGCTGCCAGAGACAAACCAGTAGAGGGTTGGAGTGCCATCAGGCGCTTTCTGGACTCTCGGCCYGGGTCATGCGCCACGATACAGTGACCATTTGTCCTGGTTTCCCAGATAGAGGATTTAGGACCAGGACTAAAATATTCTTAAAGCAGCGGACCGTGGGTACCCTATGTTTATACCATGATTTTTCCTCCTTAGCAATGCTCCCTCTCCCTTGCCTGAACTCCTCATTGTAGTTTGGCTATTATAATTCGGTGAGATTTAGTTGCTTTCAAAAGGGATTCTGCCAACTACTTTTTTTTAAAAAGAAGAAAAAAAGAATGCCCACAGCATCCCCCTCCCCGCCCCGCACAATACACACAGATATGAAGCTATGACCCGCACCTTTGAAAAAATAATTTGTTTTAGTCGTAGATGAACACAATACCCTTTGTTTTATTTGCTTATTTTAAGTGCTGCTGAGGATCAAACTCAGTGCCTCACACGTGCTAGGCAAGCGCTTTACCGCTGAGCTACAGCCCCAGCCTTATGACACCCACCTTTGAAGTGTTGGTTGCAAACACCTGCTGTTTAGGAACTGTGGGCAAGCTCACCCTTTATCTTTTCCTGTTCTGTGAACTTGGGAGTCTTACTGTGTTCTGGGCAGTGTCTCTGCTCCTGGGCTCTAAAGGGCAGGTGCTCACCAGCTGGTTGTCACTATTGGTCCCAGTCTGTGAGCTCAGCATCCCTCCTGCTTGCAAAAAAATGGCCTGTGCCATGCTCCACTCCCTAAATGTGCGGTTGAATGTGASAGCAGCCCTGGCATCTTCCCTAGTACAGTAGGCATTCCTCTTTTTAATTGTGTCAGAGTAACCAAAAAAGCTAACATTTGGGGTTATTTCTATTACTGAAGATGCCATGTTATGCAACATCTTGACCTTTCCGAAAATACTATTAAAATACCCCCCCCCTTTACTAAAAACACTATCTTTCAAAAGCTGTGTAATAAAAGGAACAAAAAACAATTCTCTTTTCCTATGTGGGCAACACCATGAGAATCTCATTCCAGGGAATGAGCTCAAGCACTGTGCTGCTTCTGGAAAGTTCAGTGTTTTGTRTGCAAGACAAAGCAACCATGCTGGTTCCAACTACTTAATTGGTCCCCTGATTAAAAAGAAATTGCACCCCCTTAGTTGGGCTCACTGATAAGGACTGGACCCCACTGATGCTCTCCTGGGATTCTGAAGCAACAGGATCCTTTTAATTGGCCTCTGGAGGGGGCTGCAAGCTACTTGACAGCTGAGAGCAGGTGGGAAGTGCCATTTGCCTTCACTGACCTGCCACCACCTACCCTTGGAAGCGGAGGTCAACCCTGTTTTGTGAGAGATGCAAAGGGCTTTGGATTGCACTTTATTTTTAAGTTAAAGTGGGCAATGCAAAAATTCAAGCTTGAAAGCAGTTAGCTAGTTTCTCACATTCCCTTGGGCATTTGTAGATTTTTGTGTCAACTCGCTCAGGTTAGCATCTCTGGTTTGTGGCACCTAACCTAGTTCTTCTATCAGAAGGGTTTTGGGTTCCTATCACACTTAAGGGAGGAAGGTGGAAAGTCATAAAATGCCCACATTTGTAAAGTTGGTTGGTTCTAGGGTCAAACTCCAAAATCAACACTAACTAATGAGGTCCAGGAATCATAACTTAAGTTTACTGATGTAAACTTATTATGCTTAGAGAAAGCAGACTCCTTGGCTTCGATGACTGCTAGTTTTGTTGTTGCTGTTGTTCGTTTGTTTGGGGTACTTGGGATTGAACCCAGGGGCAATTTACCACCGAATTATGTCCCCAACCATCTTTATTTTTTATTTTGAGACAGGGTCTCACTGAGTTAGTGAGGCTGGTCTCAAACTAATGTTCCTCCTGCTTCAAACCCCAGTTTAGAACCATAATACTGCTTTTTTTGGATAGTGAAGTTGCAGTTACTTTATTATTGTTGCTGTTAATGTTATTATTTTTTTTTGAGACGGGATCTCAATATGTTCCCCATGCTGAACTCCCCACCTGAGCTCCTGCCATCCTCCTGCCTCAACCTCCTGAGTAGCTGGGGCTACAAGGACATGCCACATAGCCTGACAGTTATTATCAGATTTTTTTTGGGGGGTGGGGTGGGGGGGTGAAGGATCTGACATGAACCATTCTTATTTTAACTTAAACTGGAATGTGTCCTGCAGTTTTTATGTTCCTGTAATTTTTAAATTTTCTTCTGCCTTAAAAGTTTTCTCTAAACCTGTAATGAATTTTTTTAAAAAAAGAGACAAAATATTTTTACTTAGTCCCAATGACATGTCTACTGTTGTATTCATCTCCATAAAAAAAAAAAGCACATTCCCACTCTCTAAATGAAAACATCTCAGAGAAGTATGGATTTTGAGGTCTGCCATCTGTAGTTTTATTTCTTTTTTCCATTGTAAAAACAAATGGTCTCTAACAATTGCTGATGTCAAACACAATCTTTAGGCTGGTGAAATACAGTAAGCCTGAGAACGGAGAAGGCAACTAAAGAGAGACGTTTTATTTAACGGAAAGCACAAAGATCTTTCTTACAAGATAGATTCCCARGAGGAAAATATTTGTAATCATATTTGACTCCGGGATTAAGAGGGCAAGGTGTGACCCTCAGAATGAACCGGAAAGCAGGCAGTAGTCCACATGTGTTCTCACCAGGGACAGCAAATGTGGGCTGCCAAGATTACAAGATCCCAAGACCTCAAATAGTTCACGTTTTGAACTAAGCATAAAATTTTGGGGGATTTGTTTTAGATTTCTTATTGGCAAGCGGTGACTTCCTGCTTAAGCAAGAAAAAGGAGTAAAAGGGTTTGCTTGTTGTCTCTGACACAAACAGCTCTTAGAACAACGCATTTTATACCGTTGACATCAGTGAAATTTAATCAAACTGGTCAAATTCCTTTGGGAGGTTGGGGAAAAGAAATCAATCATCAAGAAGCACTTGTGATTTCAAACATAATGATAATATAATATAAGCACTCCTCCGTGTCAGGCATCTCTGTTTCCAGATCAGCTACTTGTCTCTGCTGTCAAACGTACAACCCGTAGCCAAATTGCTACTTGTCAAAGCAGGAACTGATTCTCCAAAAATGTCACTCTACCAAAGTATTATTTGAGAGTCACCCTCCCCTGTACTTTTACATCTTCTGCTTCCTACTCCAGCAGGGCCCAGCCAGCACATAGTTTCTGTAAAGGGACAGATAATACATATTTTAGGCTTTGTGGACCACATGGTCTCTGGTGCCATTCTTCAGTTCTGCTGTTGTAGTGTGGGCAACCAAAGGTGAGAATGTAAACCAGCGGGCCTGGCTGTGCTCCAATAATTATTTATGGATGCTGAATTTTGAATTTTATATAATATCAACATGAAATGAAATATTCTTCTTTTGATTTTTTTCCCCATGATTGACAGGTGTAGGAACTATTTTTGATTCTCAGGCTATACAAAAATGGTCTGGGCTAGATTGGATCTGTGAGCTGTAGTTTGCAAAATCCTGTACTAGAATATAATATTTCTTTTATGGAGAACATGATATAGCTGTTCATCTAGTGATCTTTTGGTACAGAGTGCATGGAAAATTTTTCAGTTAAATCAGCAGATAGATTTCAGTAGCTCTCCTTATCCACAGTTTTCAGAGCTTCCTTTGTTTCAGTTATCTTTGGTCAACCATGATCTAAAAACATAAATGGAAAATTCCAGAAAGTTTAAAATCATACGTCATTCTGTGTAGCGTGTGATGAAGTCTCCTGCTATCCTGCTCTGTCCTGCCTGGGATTTGAATTATCCAGCATGTCTACTTGGTATTCRCTACCTGCTCCTTTGTCAGTTAGCAGCCATGCTGGTAATGAGATGGACTTGTTCTTGTCATGGCATCACAGTGCTTGCATTCAAGCAACACTTATCATACTTGAAAATGGCCCCAAAATGCAAGAGGACTGATGCTGGCAATTTTATTACAGTATGCTGTTATAATTGTTCTACTTTATTATTAGCGATTGTTGAAAATCTTTTAKTGTGCCTAATTTGCATAGTAAGCTTCTGCATAGGCTTGTATACATAGGAAAAAACAGTATATGAGGAGTTTGGTATTATCCTGTTTCAGGCATCCCCTGGAAATATCCCATGAATAATAAGGTACTGCTGAATAATTAAAAAAAAATTAAGTGACTGAATATTTTATCAAAATCCCCACTGCTTTCCTGTTTTCCTTTCTGTTTTTTTTTTTTTTTTTTCCTTTATTGGTTAGGTCCACACAGAAGAGTATTCTGAATGATTGTGGCAAATATCTTTGTTTCCAAAATTATAGTATTTATGATTTTACTAGAACTTAACTATCTGAAACTGCAGTAGTTATCAATTAATTTTTTTGGAGGGGTTACCAGAGATTGAACTCAGGGGCACTCAACTACTGAGCCACATCCCCAGCCCTATTTTATATTTTATTTTGAGACCAGGTCTCACTGAGCTGCTTTGCACCTCTCTTTGGTTGAGGCTGACTTTAAACTCGTGATCCTCCTGTCTTACCCTCAATTATTATTTTTTTTCTTTTTTGATGAGAATAGATGATTGCATCATGCCCCCATCTCACCCTCCTTGCCTCGACATGCAGACCTGTGACTACTGGCTGGTTGTACGAGGTGGGTTTTATTCCAGCACCCACTTAGATAGGGACCTTGATGATCTTGAGGGTATTAGATGATATCCATTTATGTTTTTAAACATCCTACTAAAGCATAACTTTCAAATGCTTTTAGCATTTATTTACTTAATTAAAAATTTGGGGGCTGGGATTGTAGCTCAGTGGTAGAGTGCTTGCCTAGTAAGTATGAGTCACTGGGTTTTATCCTCAGCATCACACACACACAAATAAGCAAATAAAATAAAGGTATTGTGCCCATCTACAAAAATAAATTCAAAAATTTGGG